GAGAGAGAGAATGAGAGAGAGTATGAGAGGTGAGAGGGTCAGAGGGAGAAGCAGACTCCCTGCTCAGCAGGGAGTCCGATGCAAGACATAATCCTGGGACTCCAGGATCATGACCTGAGCCAAAGGCAGTTGCTTAAACAACTGAAACACCCAGGTGCCCAAAAGTTTAATTTTTAATACAACAGTGTTAGAAATGAAGTTGAATAGCTTTTACTGCAATGGTTAATAAAATTTATCAAGCGAGAAGATACAAGTTTAAATGAATTATGGCAAACACAAATAGCAGGACCTGGCCATGCCTATATTATTTGTGGAATTGTCTGATTTAAAATGGGAGTCCTTACCATGCAAAGAGGAGAGGATCATGTGGCCAGAGTCCTGACTGCCAGGTGCAAGAGTAGACTCAGATACATATGTGCAATGACATTCATTCACAAAAGAATAAAAAGAAGTTCTGATATGCTACAACATAGCTGAACTTGAAAACTTTATGCTATGTGAAAGAACCCAGACATAAAATGCCATGTATTATATGATATATTTTCTTGAAATGTCCAGACTAGTCAAATCCATAGAGTCAGAAGGTAGATGTGTGGTTTTCATAAACTGCGGATAGGATGAGTGGCTACTGCCTGGTGATGGAATGAGGTATCTTTATGGGATCACAAAAATGTTATGGAATTAGAGAAGAGAGAGTAACACAATTTTTTGAATATACTAAAAACCAGTGTCTTGTACACGTTAAAGGGTGAATTTTACAGTAGTCCATGGACACTTTTCTACCAAGAAGAAGAAGGGTGGAGAGGAGCCAATGTTGCAAGTTATTCTGCCTAAATTGAACATTTAGATAAGGGCCTGCAAAAAGCCAAAAGGGTCAATACATTATTGCTCCTTCATCTGAAAGCAACACCAAGAGTGAAAGTCAATTCCAGCACCTGATGTGTCAAAACTCAATATTATGAAGACCCCTTTCTGCTTCTGAAATCACTCTTGAGGAATAAAGCCCTTGAAAATATTAATTCAATATATTTTTATCAGATTTTAAACACAATAAAAAATGAACACAAATCAGAAAATGATCTAATGAAACAATAAAGTAATTCAACAAAAGGATATACAAGTGGAAAAAGCTGCAGTTATTGCACTCTTTATTAATGTTAATTATAAAGAGAATCATATTTCACCCAGCAGACCATCAAAAGCTTAAAAATCTCAATCACAACCAGTGTTTGAGGATTCAGACATATAAGTGCTATTAGTCATTGTTATAATTGATGCACTCTCTTTGAAGGATCATTTTGAAGTTTTTAGAAATCATTAAAATTACCAATACAAAATATATTTTTCTTTTTCAGGCAATTTCCCATTCGAGAATGTATTCTATAATTGTCTCAGCCCATGTGTGGGAGGATAGAGAGTCCTGGTTATCCTCTTGTCCTTGCAATGACCCATTTGTTTTCCTTTTTTCCCCTTTTAAGGTCTCAGATTGGAGCTGGTCCTGATAATTTGAAGGCCACAATAATGGGACAATCTGGATTCTAGACCAGATATTTTATGCCATATTGACAATTGAGGATGGAAGAAATAATTTCCAGTTTCACATTCTGTCTCCCCATTGGTTTCCTATTCCCACTATTTTTAGGATCACCATCAGGACTAGTAATTGTTAGATATATTTCAAACTTCTCCAGATAAGCTTGGAATTAGAGTGGACCACCTATCCTGGCCTGCTGTTTGTTTTTGGATAGCCCACTAGCTGAGAACAGTTTTTACAGATGAACTCTTGAGATCAATGTGGTGATGAGGAAAGTCTAACTTTCGGTCCCACTTAAGCAGAGTGTTATCCCCCAGAAAAAAAAAAAATGAATTCCATTCTTCTACTTTAGACTAAATTATGGAAAAACTACCCAATTAGGATTATCATTACCCATATAAGATTTTGAATATCATTAAAATTTTTGTGCAAATATGCTTTCTCTCTTGCTATCCAAATACCTACTTAGTAGTTTTGAATTGCCTCTTTGCCCACAAAGCTTAAGTTATGTATTTGTTTCTTTTCATAGAAGGTTGCTGAACCCTGGCTAAAACATTAAGAAATTACATCTGATACTATCTCAGTTTTATTCCTAAAGAAACTATGTTATCTAAAAACAACAATCCTACTGACAATCCATTATAATAATATCATACATTAATCATATAACAAATATTGACATTGAAAACATTTTTCAAAAGATGTCCCAAGACATCCCCTAGATTTACAAATAGTAATCCTCCACAGTCATTGATATGTGATGAGCCTGAATCCATTAAACAAGCCAGAGTATCACCCATTTATATGACATGCAGTCTATTTTATAGATGCATTGATTTTAATGCCATAAATCAAATTATGGATATCTGCACACATATGCATATTTTCCATCATTGTTCAGTATGGGATCTATGATCTGGAGTTTTCAGGAATAGTCCACTAGCCTTAAGCTCTGAAATTGTTAATCTTAGTTAAAATACCCTATATCTTCATTAATTTAGTAGCCTTACCTGATTAAAAAGCATGATGCCTTATACCTACCGAGAAGATATGCCATCACATGCCTGATAGATACACACACATACACAGACACAGACATTTACATTTATACATGCACAGAAAAAACATGTGCTTACCTTATGGAGAAAACCTTTAATGACACATAATACTTTCAGAATAAAGTTCAACATCTTTGCAGAGTGTCCTTGGTCATTCCATTTTTTTTTTTTTTACTTGGAGTATAGCTGACACACGTTACATTATTTCCAGGGGTACAGAATGGTGATTCAGCAAGTCTAAACCTTATGGTGTACTCACAGCAAGTGTAGCTACCATCTGTCACCATACAAAGCTGTTAGAATACCCTTGACTCTGTTCCTAATGCTGTACTTTTTATCCCCGTGACTTATTCATCCCATAAGTAGGAGCTGTATCTCCTGCTCCCCTTTACCCAGTTTGCCCTCCATGACCATGTTTGATATCATAGTATCTGTGTCTCTCCTAATCGTATCTTACATTGAAAAAAAAATCTGTGTTGTTACATTAAGCACATTCTCTAGTTCATGTCTCCTCTATCATCTACATGGCATGGTGTGTCCTTCCTTACTGGGCCAACCATTCATTATTTCTCAGGAACCAGGCTTCCTAATGAAAAACCAAAAAACATAATTTTAACTCTCCTGCTGCTGCTTTCAGTTGGATTTCAATGTTCCCTTACCTCTCACTCAGTGCATACAACTACAACTTCTTGTTCCTTTCCCTCTCTCTTTGTTTCTCTCTTCTTCCTTCCCAAAAATACAAGGAAAATCCATGAAACTTAAGCATTGTGTCAAATTTACCATTCTGCCACTATTCCCTCTTACAATATTTAATATACTGTGCTTTAATAACACTTGACAAAGTAATAAAGAAAGAACTGGTGTAGATAACAGAAAAGTATGGATGTGCAAAATGGAGCACTTGATTTCTCATGATTTTTGCATCTGGAAATTCCTGAATGACTCTAGAGATATACTGAAATTTTTATATTATTATCTCATTACATCTATAAAGGTTTGGTTTTTGTTTTTACATTTGTTTGTTTGTTTTGACACAACATACTTAAAATACACTTCCTCAAAAAAATTTTTTAGAGGACTAAAACATTCAAGACATACCAACACCTTGTTTTTATTGAGTACATGGACACTGTAGAACAATGGGTTTGGGTGCATTTAATTCAGTAATAGATGCATATTTGTAAATCCTTTGGGAGAAGAATCCATAGAAGAGGAAGCTGAACTAGGGACTAAAAAATAGAAGAGAAAAGGAAATATCATATCTTCACTATTTTGTCTTTGTGTTTCTCCTCTCATTATGCAGTAGCATCCAGAAACCCACTGAGTGATAGTTGTCACAGAGTATGATGATGTGAAAACAATCTAAAATGCAGGCAAATTTCACAAAAGAATTAAATAGAAAACTAAGCCACCTCAATTAATGTTGTTTTTGAAATATTTTATGAAGTTTTGGGATATTGTTACTATTGCATGAAGGGGAAAGCTGCTGGTGTTAATCACAGTAGATTTTATGAACACAACATCTTTACCACATGAATGTGGATCTGCTTGGTCTTGGCACCATAGACAAGTGGATTGAGAAATGGGGGGACCAGCAAGTAGAGGCTAGAAAAGAGGATATGGATATAAGGGGGAACATGAGCACCAAACCTATGTGTGAAGAAGGAGAAGAAGGCGAGGAGGTAGAACTGGAGGAAGACACAGATGTGGGCGATGCAGGTATTGAATGCTTTCCACCGAGCCTTCTTCTGGGGCAAACGAAAAACTGTGATAAATATCTGTATATAGGACAAAGTGATGAAGGTGAGGTCGAACCCAGCAACAGCGAGTGCCACAAACAAACCATAGATTTTGTTGACCCACACATTTTCTGCAGCCAGTTTCACGATGGCCATATGCTCACAGTAGGAGTGGGAGATGATGGTTGTATGGTAAAATTGAAACCGGCACTTTATGAGTACTAGGCATGGGGCTACCAGAATGGCAGCCCTGAGTGTTACCATAGCCCCTATTTGGGTGATCAGCTGGTGGGTGAAGATGGTACCATGTCTTAGTGGATAACAGATGGCCACATAACGGTCCAGGGCCATGGCCAGGAGGATGCCTGACTCTATGCACTGAAATGAGTGGATGAGCCACATTTGAAGCAAGCATGAATCAAAATAAATCTCTGGCACATGAAACCAGAATATGCCAAGCATCTTGGGCATAATGGTGGTTGCAAGTGCAATATCTGTGACTCCTAGCATGCCTATGAAAATGTACATGGGCTCATGGAGGCTGCGTTCTGACTTGATGATTATCAGAAGCATGGAATTTCCAATCATAGCAATGAAATATATGGCACAGAATGGAATCCCGATCCAGCACTGCACAGACTCTAGGCCTGGGATTCCTATTAGTGTCAATACAGAAGGCATGAAGACTGTAATATTGGAGATGGGCATAATGTCTTTGCGTCTCCAGAAGCAAATGAAAGAAGTATCTTAGTCAGTGGTGCTTTCTCTTCTACTCCTATTTTTCATCCAAAGTCATCATAGTGAGTCTCTCTGATTTTGGCTGAACTCTAAGATTATATGATCCATCTCATTTATATTATTGAAGGAAAAATATCCATAGATAAACCCCACTGTTTTCAGGAAGGACATACAGAAGCACTGTAGCACAATAGTGATTCTGTGCATGGTAGCGAACTGCATTAGAACCAGCCAGGTCACATGGGTAACGGGACTAAACTGATGACATGTTATGTCATTCTGGACTGTGGACAAAATAATTACACTTGTTTATTTTGCTTGGAAAGGGCATTTGAGTCAGAGTT